CCCCCCCCAGTTATAACAAATTTCCTTTTCGTTAGGGAATTGCACATGCGCAAATCTGCTCATTGGTGTTAGTCAGTATATAGCAGAAAAAACCATACAATGTATCATCTACGTAAGAAACTTGTAATTTTCGCCAAAAATAAATGTTTCAAAAGTTGTAATTACAAGAAAAAATGACGTGCTAAAATGAGCTGCAAAGAACGACTCAAAAGGATAAGAAAATACAAATTCCCGACGTTGACAGAAAGGAAACGAAATATGGATAACCTGGTGAAAGACAAATTTAACGAGATAATCGGACACACATAGACACCGTCTCCTGTTTGAAGCCATTACGTTCGTAAAAAGCTACTTTATCGGAGTCACAATCGAGAGATATCTTGTAACAGCCTTGTAATTTTCCAACTTCGATTAGAACAGAAACAAGTCTACAAGGAGATCAAGGAATAGTCGTAATTTGAAAAAACATCTGCGTATACTGGTGAATAAAGTGAGAAATTAAGACGTGACCGCTACTTAGGCCTTAGATCTAACCAAAGACAGGACATTTACAATCGAAGCATTTGATAAAAAGCAACTCACAATTTCCCAAGACCTTTGCCACGATAAGCTTCATCAATAACAACATCCTCAATATGGCCGCGCTACAAACAGTAAAACTGAGGAGTGTCCATACTTTAGAGCGATTATGAATCATTTTCAACTCAACAAGCAACGTCGCACAACCAATTAATTTTCGAAGAGGCAAATCTTCCAAAACAACGATGAAGTACGTGCTTGGACGAGAAGTAAATTCCTTAAATCGACCTAAAAGTGAGAAAATAAACACTCACATTCAAAATCGCTTTCGGATATATCTCCAACAACGGTCAGTTGTTTTAATAGACGCAAATAATCTGGAATATATTGGCGAAGTAATATGAATACCGAAGTCAGTAGACCTCAAAGGCCTTAACAAATACTGGCAACCACCAGGACTCGGATCCGTCGTGATGTCCTTCGCCTGTAAAGCGGCATCAAGGCCGAGATCTTGCAGAATAGAAGGATCAAATAGAAACGACATCTGCTATCGCACGCAAGACCTCAAAGAACCGCGAAGACCGATAAACTGTACTAGTCGAAGCTTGGAGATGTTAAACAACTGTTAGCACACCCAAATACATTTTTATATAAGCATAATGTAATGTTGCAACAAGCGCAAATAAATAACGTAACTTTTTTTCGATGTTGTTTTTTTGTAATCATATAGAATTGATAGATCACTAATAATTTTATTGATGACTAGGATTAAAATCTACTAATGATTTGTGGTCCTGCGCTAAGAAACTTTTACGAAAAGTCAATGCATGCATAATTTTTGACTTGGTGAAAATAGGCAGAAAGTGAAGTTGGATTCGTGTATTCCAAAGCGAACAAAGCTCCTAAACCTGTGCATGTCCCAAAGGCCAGCCCACAAGAGCAAGGGGCGGACACATCTTAAAGTAACTGCATAATGCCAGAGGTCACATAATCAAAACATTACAATTATGAACTTGGTTAAGCTTCACAGGATTGAAAAACTTTTACTTGCAAATGGCAATTTTAAGGCTTTGCCACTCCTATCGTCAGATCAACTATTAAAATATCCCGTTTACTTCGCTGCCTATATATTTGGCTTCACAAATGAAGCGATGCCGCTACATGCTATCTGCAATAATTTGCTTAGCAGATCCATTTACCGCACTGACGAACAATATCGTCGATGACAGTGTAATACTTGGTTTATGTCGCCACGTGACGTTTGGCGGTCACTTTAGAGTTTGTCTGGCCTCTGTGCACAGGGGTTGGCCTTCAGGCCACGCTCAGGCCCCGTTAGCCCTACCGTCTTCGGAATACATGTATTCAACCTCACTTATGCTTTCTTCCATCCTATGAGAAGCCTCGGGACGCTACAGACAGCACCTTGCATCTGTTTTCCTAGGGCCAGCGTTTTAATCCTTTACCCTGACATGAATCTGTTGTACATTAAGGCTCCAAAGCATGATCATGGACACAACTAAAGTCATACAGAAGTTCCGCCAGGAATATATACTAGAGTGTTTAAGCGTACCTATATAGGAAACAGGTGAGAAGTAATTTGGAACGCGAATCCCGTGCATGAGGACCGTGGGGAATCTCTCTCATTAGCTATTCGTTTCATCTGTTTTCCTACACATCAATGCCTAACAAATCAACTGCAACTAACCCCCCTTGAATTTCGTGGATCAAGGGCATGAGAGTAGGCAGACAGTCCCTACTCCGCCTTCTAAATGCCGCATTCAAGCAAAGTTTTACATATGTCCAGTTAAATTTTTTTGAGAGGGACAATAGCTCTTCTTGATAATCATTGGAGCTGGTAACTGGTGAGGAGGGCACTGATTGTGTGGCGACATTTGACCATAGGGATCGCCTAGGGCGTCATTTAATTGACTAGAGGGACATTGGAATTGCAGCCACACTCTCGTTATCATCTGAGACCTTTCAGGTGCTCTCTCAGGAGGTTACAGATTATGAGTAGTAATACGGAAGATAGGAGAAGTGTTGCCTAGAACGGGAAGTGAGCGGTCACGGCTTGTTTGTTCAGCACGGCATCCGGCATTAAATCCTGCATCCGACATACAATTTATAATTAAAACAACAGCTACTTGTAAGATAAGTGGTCATTTTGGTAGTCATCATGCTCTAGGACGAGGGATCTGGCCTTAAGGCCAAACTGAACCTCAAATTTTAATTTTATTTTTAAATACAAGTGTTCGACCATGCTTGAGGTCTTTTACAAAATTTGCACAATTAAAAGCCCTATTTTTATAGAAGTAAAATGTAGTGCGTGCGTGGTAATGGACAGCGTTATGCCATGTTTAGGTGGAGATCTTATGTATGGCTATCACTTTGGTATTCATCTATTCCTCGAAGGCGTAGCCTGACCTTCGATCCAAGCCAAAAACTGGAGAATACATGTACCCAGATCAACGTAACCCCTACTTCTACCAGTAAAAAGCCTCAAGACGCTGCAATGGCAGCAGAGGAAAGCAGACACGGCTATATTTAACTACTCATAGAATAGTATTCATAATTTTTTATATACATCCATGGAGCAAAGAAGGCACGTGTGCTGCCTGCGGGAGAATTTTTAGATGTATCACAACAGAAGGGTTGAGGACTATGCACCATTTGGCTTCATTTTGTCGTTGTGTTCTACGGACAAGTTTTAAACAACTGAAAGGAAACCGCTTTGCAATCCCTAAGAAAAGGTTTGTATTTCCCCTGTCTTTACTACTTTCGCGTTCCCTTTGTTAAACCTCTACTTTAGACTACTGTTACAACGCCTAGTCCTAGGGAGAATTGATGGTCAGCATATGCATGCCAGACCAGAACCTTATTCCTGGTACGGTTAAAACTGCTTTAAAGACCAAGTACCGTTCCTCAGTCAAATGATAGCTGATACTTTGAGCCCCTAGCTTGTGGGTGTATTTTTGCAGTAGCACCAGATAAGTTGTGAAAGGAAGTACGAGGGGCGCACCAGGAGGAACGCCAAGAACTTTGCTATATAGACGAGAGGACATTGTAACACTTCTTGATATCTAGCAACTAATTTAGTTTTTGCTTGCCCTTGTACACACGGGTTGGCCTTATAACCGAGCCAAGATTAATACATTTTTTTCCTAAAATCCATGTAATCAGCCTTACTTAACGTCTTGATCTACATTATGGGCAATCTTAAGGCTCTACAGATTTTGAAGCTTCCCAAGACTCCCCACCCGATAATAGAAGGCTTTAATTTGAGCTAAATAGCGCAATTCAGGAGGAGAAAAATTATCAAACCTGGGCATGACCGGTGTAATGCTTTGGTTATGTGACTACATGACGCTCGGCTGTCACTAAGATTAGTTTGGCCCTTGTACTCACGGGTTAGTCTACGAACCATGCCCAGGTCCAATCACTCTGCTCTCTTCGGAATGCATGCATCCAGCCTCGCTTTCTGCCCTCTTCCACCCTATGGGAAGTCTCGAGACGCTACAGCCCGTAGGTCAGCCCACGCATGCAAGGGCCAGACAAATATGGAAGTAACTGCCATGTGCTTATTGTTCACATGTACATTGTAATGCTTTATTTGTGTAACTACCGGATGTTTGGCGGTCATTTTAGAATTTGTCTGGTCCCCGTACATGTGGGTTGACCTTCGGGTCACGCTCAGCCCCTACTTATGCCTTCAATCACCCTATGGGAAACCTCGGTACGCTACGCACATAGCTTATGGACTAAGTTAGCATCCCTTATTATCGTTAATGTGCTAAAATATGTACTTAACTCACAATCAATTTTATTTTCCACTTGATATTTTTTTTCGACCCAACACTCAATGATTTTGTATATGAAATCTCAGTTTTAATAAATTCAGTTTAGAAAACCATTGATCTTTTGAGAGCAATGCTACACATAGTGAATAGATATATGCTGATCGGTTGTGAATGTGAACTCACAACAACGCTCTAAAATATACCATTGGATTTTTAAGCTCAACTTTCTTTGCATTGGCAACTGGTTGCACAAACTTTACTCCGGAAGTTAGTTGCTGATTTGGAAACTTTTTTCACAATTTAGCCTTCGGAAGTTTTTGACCTGCGGTTTCGCATGCTGCTGCCAACGTCATTGGTCAGTACAAAACGTGTATATATCAGTCTATTCATCGGGACAAGATTAGCGTGTACGGAGTTCGGCGTTGTTGAAGTTTTTCCAGTAAGTGTGTCCTGCTTTAATGTCATGCAAAGTCGCGCTTATTCATCGTAACTCATGTTCAATGAGGTTCCTCAGGGCTGGTTTCGACTACCTATGTGCATTTGCGTCTAGTGAATATGCCGAGTTATGAACCTTAACCAAATACTTTTATAAATTAATATATCTCGTCGGCGGTCACTGTTCAGATCTGCAAATAATAGAAGATTTGTCTGTTTGCAGTGGTAATGAATTCCTCGTGTAAGATTACTTGAGATAATTTATTTCGCATTTTCAATGCCTTTTGATTTGAAAGGCGTCCACTTCCAAGACCGGTCCTGCTCATTTTCTTTGTTATTCCCACTCCTAACTATGGGAACATCATGTACTCTTCATTTGCATTTTTGTAGCTTAGAATACGGCCTTAAAACACGCTATTTGAGCCCAAGATTATTTAACTTATTAGGATCTATCGTTCGGGATTTATTATTGGGATCGCCTTCCCTTTGATTTCTTGCAAGGGCTCTACATTTACCTCGGGTTTGTATCCATCATTGGGTGTACAGTTAAAACATTGTCGAGCTCTTTTTATTTCGCCGCCTCTCAATATCGTACAGGGCTCTTATTGGCCGTTGAAGCATTATCGGATCTCTATGTCAGATGAGATTTTCTGTTTTGGTGGTGTTTTCGGCGATTGCCCAAAGACGTAAATTACAAATGATTTACTCCTCATTAAATAAGTTAAAATACTCCTATATTTGAATGTAGCTGGTATCACAACAGTTCTCGCAGCTTTTTAATTCATAAAGATATTATGATCTGCGAGTTCAGAAATGACACTTGATTTGAAGCCCATGCTTTTTTTCTAGTAAACCAAATCTCACTATCTACACGATTGTAATTGGGAAATGAACACAGCGATGCTCCGAGATCTGCAGCGCGTCTCTCTTGATTTCGCTAGTCGGTCAGTGGATTCGTTGAGCCTGCTGCAGGGCTTCAGCCGCCGCGATTTCACGTTGCGCACGGAGTGGGCACAGTCAGTACAGCGCGTTATTGATTCCTGGTTCTTTGGTTTTGGAAGCCCTGCTGTGGCAGGATTTCTTGAATCCTACAGTCAGGATAGCAATGGGACCACTGTTGACACCTCCATGCACCGTAACATCCTGTCTCAGATACCTGACTTTGCGCGGGTGATTCAGACATGTCCGCTTAGAGATGTCCGTGACTTCTGTCACGCCATCATTGAGGACTTGAAGGTAAGCTCGTTTAGATCTCTATGACCTTAGAGGTTGTCCTAGGGCTGCCGTACACCTGGCTGTAATTCTCGACTTGTTGTGTGCCTAAATGCGAGGAAAGCCGGCAATATTCGAAAGCTGATTGATTTGATTACCAACTCCTCTCCCATTCCTTCCCGTCTAGCCTGTTTGCTTTCCCGAGTGGTTAATAACAGGATCAAAGCAAATGAGTTTGCCGCTCTGAACCGTTTAAAGTATAGTTTTACTTCCTATACCAGTGATACTTTTACATGTTTTGCCATTCATCCAGGAGTGTCCAAGTGGGAACGCTGCCATTCCCCTGCTTACACAACGCATTTTTTTCATTTCCTACGGGCTTTGCAGTGTGGTATACTTAGTTTTCCTTCAGCCGAGCAGCATTGTAGTCCATCATCTGCTGTAATTTGAGTCTGTTGGCATCTTACTTCGCGCTATTTTGCTCGCTCTTCACAAGTGATATCTTAGCTAGTGTTCCTGTCTTAGCTAAGAACTTAATTTTTTCGACGTCCAATCCATCGCGCTGCAATGGACCTGTCTAAATTTTCGAGCGAATCAGTTTATTTACAGCTTTTGGTTATTCTCGCCTTAGGCTCACCTGAATTAACGATTGTCAGAGCAAAAGTTTCATTGTTCCACTCTTACGATTTGTTAAACATCTTGCATAGATTTTTCGCCTTCCCAGTTTCCCCACACAGCCACTTTGTTCATGTAAATGCGGTATGTAAATAATGGGATCTTGAAGGTTTGCTTTTGCTTGATTGCTTATAGTGGCTTCAAAATTATAGGAATTTATTGTTCCTGATCTGCATCTACCTATAATCTGAGTTAAGCTCTCTGTTAAAAGCGAGATTTAATACCACCACTCTGGTTGTCTGTGTCTACTCCCATGAAATTCGCTGACACGCTGATGTCAAGCATTCAACTTTGGAACCGACCTGATGAAGTTAACTTGCGTAGAATTCGCCTTCTCGGCTAGCTCTTTCCTTTTCATTTCTCTATTTTCTCTTTAGAAAAAAAAGCATTTCATATTCGAAATACCCCTCCAACCCTCTCCGTCCTACTCCTTCTACATGGACGATCTGCCGCACCTTAGAATAATCTTTGATGAACCCTATGACGATGATCCCATGTTCTCCGTGAGTTATCATTGCATTTAGTGGATATAAGGTAGCTTCACTAATTTTACTCTAATCGCGCAGAATGGATATTTCCCCATTCCTTTGTTCACAACGTAGCTGCTTTTCAGTGCAGTTGTACTTGGCAAAGATGGCGCCACGGTAATCTTGTACATTTTGGTTTAATTCCCCTCATCTAGCTATAAAGACTAAACACACGCGTACACACTTTTTATTGTTTTTTTGCAGAAGTAGGAATTTATAACGGTTACTTCAATGCGTAAAAAGTGCAGTTCGTCATCTTTTGCTTCCTGTCATACACTTAATACTTCGCTCCCTCTGTTGCTTTTTTAATGCCATTTTTCATGGCCTAATTTGTGATCCACTCCAGGTATACAATAACTTCCTACCTAGTCTCTTTAATAGGACCTTGTCAAACTGAAATTCAGTTGCCATGCCTTTTGTTTTGTAGACCTACGTTCTCTTCTGTGAGTACTGGTATCGCTGGGGTCGACTGGACAACTTCGTCCAAATACTCGGTTGCCATCCAGAGTTTCTTGAGCCCTTTATCAAGGTTCATCAGTGTCTTTTCACTGGAGACCTCTCTCTACCCTATCCGGTGCGCTACTATCTGGCTATTTTGGTGAGTTTGGCTCTCAACATTACGTCCCCTTAAACATTTCAAAGATATCTCTTTTGCGATTCCATCTCTGCATTGCTGATACCTCGGCCCATTTATTTCGTTCCGGACTCGTGCGTTTTACGACACTAACGCTATATCAGGTGTTACACATGAACATCAATGGTTCGCTGGTCATGAGGGAAAGGCATCTCCTCTCGATACAATTATCTGATTCATCGGTGACTTACAGTATAACGATTTAGCCGGTTAAGTCATTTTACAATTGTGATGTCCAAACCGGGAGGGGGCTGACAAGGCGAAAAAAAATGCATGAGGAATGTGGGCATCACTAATCATCATGACTGTCATCATTGTTGTGTATCAGCTGGTTTTTTCCAAAGTACTCTCCTAGGAGGTGCGCATAACGACTAGGTTTTTCCTGTGACTTTGCTTAGACATGTTCATAACTGGAGGAGTCACTTCAAATCGTACGCATCGGTGGTTCCTCTGATCGAGACGGTCCATTTAAATGTGCATTTTGACAAGCAGTGAAGCTCCTCTGGTCTTGATGAGAATGTGGGCACATTTTTTACTGCCTTGTTTGCGGACCTGCCATCATAGTGGGTCTGCCACATGTCCAAATCGTCTCCATTTAAGTAGACTGTCAAACAATTTAAGGAAACAGCTTTACTGTCTGCGTGGTGCTCTGAAATCTGCGTCATGACAAGGTGGTAGCATGGTGGAGCTTATTACGAGAATAAATGGCTCTTTGTTCCTCCCCTTAGTTACGTTTTCTTTGCACCATTACCAAAGTTCACTACCAAGTTATTCATGCATCCATGTCTGCGGTATTAACATCAAATTTTGTATACCCACCTGATTTGGACTTTAACCTAATCCACTTCGTCAACCGCAAAGACACCAACCATCCTCCAAATAAGTCGATGGTAGTTTCTACCACACCACACGTCTAGTTTTTTTACTTCGCTGTCGGTGTCTATACCCCCGTCTAGCAGTAAGTCAGCTCTCCAATCTGAACCCGATGAAACATCGAAGATATGTGACTGTTTGGCTTGATTTTTTTTAATTTCCTGCCACATTTCACTGTTCATTCATTGCACTACTACATTCGCACTAGACTGAGGGGACTGGATTGTCATAAACCACTACTTTTCTCTCGTCTATCTTCAATTACTTACTCATCCACAGTCCTTTCATTGCAAGATTTCGAACTCCACGACATTTCTGCTAGCGGGTTGTTATTTGTGCGAATTTAGTTGTCATGGCTCGTGTATTCAACAATGAGTGAATCTCCTGTCAATCACTCTTCGTGAGCAATTTCGCCAAATTCAGTTCCAATGTTACCTAATTACTTGCCAAGTTTATGCTGCGTTTCTCGCAACATTGAAGTAGTGGCTCGTTTAGCTTTGCATTAGAGGTATTGCATTTTCTTGACGGCTCCTCTGTTGTACGTCTTCGTGGCTGCTTGATGCTTGAGTCATCACCAAGATCAACGGAGTCCGAATGTGCACCAGTAAAGCAAACAAAAAATTTTTTTGTGCACCGTCAGTAGGTGCTGTCGTCAATTAAGCTTCCACATCTTGTCTCCGTCTTGATGGCCTTTCGCGTCGTATTGCTGTCTCATCATCGCCAGAGCTCTGTTCCAGTTGGAGGACGTGCGTCTAGTTCTGCCGCGCAAGCGCCGTGACAACGCATTCGTTTGCTATAGCAACAGGGCTGACTGTGCTCGAGGGGCCCTCCGCCACACACGTGATGCATAGCATGGATGCAAGTAGATGGGATTAGTATCTCAGGCGGAGTGCACGCATGAACAAAGACGAAACAATGAGTCCTTTTGTTTACCCTATCTGAGGTGGTGACAAACCAACGTAGTGACCTTTTTTGCGTTGTTTTCATCGTAAAGGGGAGGAGGAGATATAGAGAGGGAGTATGGAGAGGAGGCGGCTGAGATTCACACAGTGAAACTACAAGACCTCATCCCAACGCTTTACAAACTGCTACTTGTACTTTTATTTCCGTCACTCAACCATACCGTCTGCATGCTTTCGTTCCCCTGTGAGTGCTTCATGTGTCCTTGGTCGGAATCAACTGGCTGCACAGCAGGTGGTGGAGGTTTTTGTTGATCTCCCTGGTCTGGGAAGCATTGATGTGCTGACGACGTCAGTGCATCAGTCTTGGTGCTGTAGTGTGTATTGGGGTGGAAACTCACAGGCTTCTGGAATTCCATTTACGCCTAGGCTGCGGCTGAACTGCGGTGTCCCCAACTCGTCTGCCTCTTTGTGCGCTACTTTCTGCAAGCCGGTGGCGAGGGCAGCTGGCTTGAGGGTCTCTCACATGCGCCATCTCGCTGGTTCCAATTGAAGCATCTTAACCACAACTTGGCTCATTCACCCTGGAAGATTACTTCTGTAAGTGAGATTTGTTTGCGTCTCGCGCTAGTTGTATTAATGGCAATGGTGATAATTAAATCACTTCGCCACTGCTGGTGTTTATGTGTGTTTGTGTGTATGTTTTGGCTAAAACTTGATCTGGACCCGAGAGAACAGCGTCACTGTAGTTGCGAAGTCCTTTGATAAATGCATTTATTAGAAGTAGTATAACTGAATGTGAAATCACATTTATTCAACTTCCCTCTGAACAAATAATTTCATCACCTTATCCTTCGAAGCGTAACAGGATAGTTTCCAAGTTTCCTTGGTTGTTTGTGCCTTGATCCATGGCTAATCAGGGAAATTAGGCAATTCGACAATCGTTATGCACTTTGATTTAATCGCCGTCTTGTGGTAATGGGTTTGGGATCACTGTACAATCTTATTCCATGTAGCTGTTCGGGACACCGTGTCGGACGCCTTTCTCACCTTGTGATTGTAGTGGATGTGCGTTCCCCATACCACTAATCACACTCATCATCACAAACGCCTCGTTTGCTCAGTTATCCCTCAGCCAAGCTGCACCTATTAATGACGTCCGATTTCCCTTTTCACCCTGTCAAATTTTGCAAATGCCAATGAAACTGATTCCAGGTCTCTTGATGCAATTAGTCCGTCACATGTATGACGGTGGTGGTGAATGTGTTGCGACACTGACATTACTTTGTTAATGGCTACGGATTGTTCTATTCTACCAATGCTATTGATCCGCCTTACAGGACGACATCTACCAGCTAACTCGTGGTGACGACGTAGTGGGTCGGATTGAGAAGCTTTCTCTCTCCGAACTGATGCATGCCGTTGCCATAGTAACGCATGTTCATGCACTGGCTTGCTTCGCGTTTGGGGTTGCTGTACGACCCGAGTTGGAGCACGTCTGCCCCTCGCCCTACCAGCCCTGCATCTATTCTGCAGCCACAGGTGCTACTGTCACCGACACTTCCTCCGCCTTCCCTACCCTTGGCCATGGAGATAAGACTACTGTACGTTCCTGGCTCTCTCCTTCTTTTCCTCCATCCTGTTTCATATATCCTATCGTCTTTCGTCGTGTCGACATGTTGATACAATCAGAACTGATGTGTCCTTTCACATAAATCTCGCCATTCTTTCATAAATTTGATTCCAATTCTATTTGCCCGCCTTTGATCGCCCCTCTCCAGAGGCGAACTAATAATGAACCACTTGATTCTGACTTCGAGGCCAACATATTTGACATTCGTGGCATATCAAGTCTTCCGCGAGACTTGAGTTGAATTTCGTAAAGACGTGAACTATCTAAAATTTACAATTTTTCTTGGGAATGGTTTTATAAAATCCAACGGAGAAACCAGGAGTGTGCAAGATTTTGCTACACTTTTAACGAAGATAAGGCTTCATTATTTTCTTCTTTTTTCTTTTTGTTTTGTTACAAACGAAACTAAATGGAATTATTTAATGGATTAAAGTTTTAAAGGGCTTTGAGAAATCATAGTGTTCTAGCGAAGACCCAGGGGCGGTTTTATTGCTACAAATTGGCACTGGTTTGCTTACTTCGTAGTAGGTAGAGCTGTGATTGCTCAACGACCAGGAAATTGTTGTCTATTGCAAAAGAATGAGGAGAAGTTGTCGGGAAGTTAAGACAATTTGAGTTTTTGTTGAAGTTACAGTAGCATGAAAGCTGTGCTCTCTACCAAAAGTCCAGTCTGTTGTCAAACGCAGTGTTATGCGAACTGTCAAATTGAAGCTGGTAGCAAACGTTTTAAATCAAAATAATTTTGATCTAGTGTCAAATCCTTTACCGGCAGTAAGTGAAGAGTGGAGGAATTGCCACACATCCTTTTCATTTGCAGACGAATTCCACTGGAGGGTCATTTGTTTAAATAGTACATACACAGACGGGACGACAGTCTGCTAGTGGTGAAATTCCTTCCTACTTGTGACGCGGCATTGCTATCCCAATGTCTCCCATTCACTCACATGTGCTTCCACTTTTTTCTCTTTTCGTGGATAGTTTCGGCTCTATAGACTTAGAGTTTTGTGTTCCCCTTTCACAGAAATGGCGCTTTTTTAGAAGTATTTGAGGTGCCGGTTATTCATTGTTTGTGATAATAAATTTATTCATTTGTGGAATGTTAGGACCAGGAGGTAAGAACAGGGAGGAAGGTGGAGGGGATGTAAAGGCAAGATCGTTAACCCTCGACCTTTGGGTAAACTGTGTTGCAAGTAGAGGTGAATTTACCCAAAGCCACTTTAACTGGAAGCAATTGAAGATGCCCTTTGAACTACTTTTGGAACAATGCGATATAAGTAATGAGATGAAACCCTGTTGATCGTTCCATATTTGTGTGTTTTGTGTTCCAGATGTGGATGAATGAGCAGCATTACAAGGATCGTCAAGCGGAGGCCTCGAAGCACCTCTTCAAGTTGCTTCAATCGGAACCCGACGATTGGGATGGTCGCGGAGGCGATGAGGTAGTGGCCGAGAATTTCCAGTCCTACGCCAAATCGACGTCAGAGCGTGAGTTCCTGTTAGTGAAGCGACTTCAGTCATCAACCTGGTGCGACTTTCGGATGAAACTTTTACAAGCTAAGGTTGATAAGTTTGTTGAATCTGGGATCTCAGTAAGTAATCGCGATAAGTGTTGAAACGAAATTTTGAATGTAGTTTGCACTGCGTAGAAAATGGGGACGTCACGAGGCGAACAGGAGGAGCAGACTTGTACGTTTACTCGAATTTCGACTTTTTAGTGAGCTTGGCAGCGTTATGTGAGAAGATTACGGCCTCGGACAATTTCAACTTGGAAAATCATCCAGTTGTTGCAAAGTTCCTCTCATTCCCGGGCAGCTCTTTTGTGGATTACTTGGGTTCGCCATTCCTTCTTTCGGTGAGTCGAACACCGCCAAAGGAAAATTGATTTTCTTCACTCCACTTATCCTGCTCTCTGGAGACGACCTCTCTTTCTATTCAGCTCTGTCCACAATCATCTTAACCCCTTACCCATATCCCTTGGG